TTTATATTATGATCATTGAATCTGACCTCCTTTTGATTAGGAGTGTGAGGTTTCAGTTGTTTCTGTGTGGTTGGTACATTACTTCTAAGGTTTCTACCCATTAACAGCTCAGCAGGACTATAACCAATTTTCAATGGTGTAGAGTGGTATGATAATAGAGCTAAATAAGGATCCTTAGACTTCAGTAGTAATCTCTTAACAGTCTGTAAAGCTCTCTCAGCCTCACCATTAGCTTGTGGATACCTCGGGCTGCTAGTATTATGATGAAACCCATACTGATTAGAGAACTCTTTAAATAATGATGATGCATACTGAGGGCCATTGTCTGAGACTACCTCCCGAGGTATGCCGTGTCTAGCAAAAATTGATTTAAGATGATCAATTACTCCATGAGATGCAGTTTTAGAGAGTTTAGCATTTCAATAAAGCGAGTAGATGTAGGTAGCTTTATCCCAATCAAATAAATCTGTACCAACTTTCTGCCATGGGCTAGCAGGCAATTCTAAAGGGATTAAAGGATCATACTTGGTTTTTTGAAACTGACAGCAGATTTTACATAAGCTTCAATATCTTTTGTAATCCCAGGCCACCAAACAGACATTCTTGCTCTCTCTTTACATTTGACTAACCCTTGATGACCTGTGTGTAGCTGTTCCAACACTTAATTTTGTAGATCCTTTTCAATTACTATGCGGTTGCCCTTCAGCAGTAGCCCATTACAGATAGAAAGGTCATTATAGTTGTCAAATTTCCTCCTTCTTCCCCCTCCTGAGACCTCTTCTCTCCACCTTTTCAGCACTGGATCTTTCTCTTGATGTTGCTGTATTTGAGTAAGATGTTTGTCCATGGCTGGTAAATATCTAAAAATGAGATCAATGTATGCATGAACTTCCTTTTGAAGTAGTGTTGTTCTAGTTCTTTGGAACTAGAACTAAAAAGTTATTTAGTTCCATTATTTTTAGGTAGTTCTAGTTCCAAGAACTAAAACTATAACTAAACTAACGGTTTTCTAGCTATAGAACTACATGTGTAACTAGAACTAGAACTAATAGCTAACTCTTCTTTGAACTATAACTAGAACTAGAACTATTTGTAATTTGATGTTGGTACTAGAACTAGAACTATTATTTTTTTTGAACTAACGCTAGAACTACATGCTATTGACTACATAAAATGTTGCCAACTACCTTGATTAGAGTTTATATCATTAGAAAAAGTGTCAAAATATAATAAGGAAACAGAACTAAACTAGAACTAGAACTACACTAGAACTATGGAAACTAGGAGGTTAAAACTAGAACTAGAACAATAACTGTGTAGCATAAATGCTTGGAACTAGAACTAAAACTAGAACTGCACGAAGTACTGATAAAGAACTAGAACTAAAACTAGAACTATACAAACTGCAAATTTGGAACCAGAACTAGAACTACGACTAAGCAAATTAAAGGCTTAGAACTAGAACTAAAACTAGAACTATTTGAAAAATGTGACCATAATTGACAAAAGGTACCTTATGGCGGGTAGTGAAATTTGTCTTTCGAGCCTAAGAAATCCAACTTCCTGAGCCCCATTTATCATAAAATTACTCCACAGGATGCAAAAAGTTACCATAAAACTTTTAGAAACAATGAT